ATCTTGCCCACAAAAGTGTTACCTCTGTTTAGATTGTGAGTTTTCAGAAAAAAAAATTTTGGAATATTTCCTTGACATATTTTCTCATTGACTTATTACATCACATACATTATATTGTTACAAAGGGTTTACTGATTCTCTTTGGGTGAGTGATAATAATGTTATAATTTTGCAGTGGGTTTACTGATTCTCTTTGGGCGCTTATCCTATGCCCCCAAGGCATGAAAAACAAAAAAGATCTTTTTTAAAATTAGAGCAATTTTGATCATTAAAAGTTTGAAAATGATAAGCTTTGTGACTACAACTATTCGACTAAAAGAGAAAATGGCACGAACTCCTTGTTCTCTCACTTTTTTGCCCCCACCTCTCATTCCTCTTTTTTCACTATCTTGTGTCATCTCATGTTTATGCATAGGACTAGATGTCTCATTTAACCGAATTAATCCTCCATTATGAGATAAAAAAAAAAATCCATGTGGGAGGTGGTGCAAGTTGCCCTGTGATGATTAGGAGGTGGAATAACACATTTTTGTACTGATTTTCTCCCATTAATAACATAGGCATATAGTCCAACAAAAATATATCCCATTCTCTCATCATAATATTAGAAAATTTTAAATAATTTGACCATACTGATAATTGAACTAATTTGCACATACTAAGAACACAATTAAAATTTGGACTACCCTTTTTAGTTGATTATACAACTACAATTTGTTTCTAAATTTTGGTTCGTAAATGGTTAGACATGTCAACTAAGGCTACGGTTGATAAAACTGAAATCTGAAAATTAAAGTTTGAAATCTGAAATTTGAAGTCTGAATCCATTAAATTATTGAATTGTTAAGTATTAAATTTAATACATTTGAGTGCATGTCACATTAAGTAATAGGTGAATAGCTTATCACTTAATTTTAGAAACAAATTTTGCCTAGAAAATTCAGTGCCATTTAATTAATACAGATATTCAATTTTTAGTTATCAAACGGTCTAAATATGTTAAGATCTGAATCGATTAAGTTTAAGTGCAGAAAAAAAAAAGAAAAAAAAAGACAGGGCCTAAGACTTTAAGAGCGTAAGTTTCGGTAAGCTCAAACCCAACCGAAAGAAAAATCCTTCAATGCTCTTCATGCTCTTCAGGCCTGGCTCACCTGAAAGCTCACGTATATGAGACATGATCTTAGAGGCTGTTTGGATTGGAACTGTTCAAGAGTTTTTAGGGGAAAAAGTATTATATCACTTTTTAAAATATGATGTATGTGAAGTAAAAAAATAGTTAGAAATATACATTATGAAAAATGTAAGATTTTTCTCCCAGAAAATTGCAATTCAAATAGGTCCTTAGACCATTTATTTGTATTGACTTTATGCCTAGATCGACTGTGTGTAGATTATATATGTACATGTATTTATGTATGCATGTAAGTATTGATGCATTTATTTATCTAACTATCAAAGAATTTATTTAACAATATTAGACGAGTCAATTAGCTTTTCTAACCTAACCTAAATTGGCCAAAATTCACACCTTATCTTAATTGAACTCCAAATTAAGTCTCAAGATTTGCCTAGAATGTGTCGAATAGGCCGAGTTTATGCTAACAACAAAAGTATAAATACTGCAAGCTTTATTCGCTTAGGAAGAACAAGAAGTTTCAAAATTTTCATTTGTCATAAAATATAAATAATTGCAAGATTTACTTTAATAATGTGAAATTGTTTGTTGACTTTGCGAATGAGAAAATAACTACCATACTCTTTAAAAAAGACAAAAAAAAAAAAAAAGAGAAAATAACCACGGGGCACGGGGGTTATGTTTTGGTCTATCCAATAATAATTCCATCTCATCTCATATCAAACAAAACACAGCATGAGATTATTGCTTAATGAATTCTATTCAATACAAAATCAATCAAACATTGAACAATTACGACTATTAATTCGTAATGACTCATCCTAAAATTCGTAGTTCGAGAATGAGTAATCTCATCGATCCAACTCCAATCCTTGAACCAATAAAAAGCAAAAAAAGTTTGGAGTAGTTGCACTTGCGCTAGCTTGGTATTAAAAGCTTGGCATTAAAATGCATTCGAAGTACAGCTGACTAAGGAAGGGATTTGGCAGAGTTGAAATAAATAGACCGAATGAGACCAAAAGCAATAAAGATGTCGTAATAAATAATAACGAACGCAGTAACATCACACACACCTTAAACGGCACGTACCATTTTTTATTACACACTTCTGAAGAGATCATCATCATTCAAAGCAAAGCAAAGCAAAAGCGGAATGAGGAGTGAGTAATAAATGAACAATACAAATACTCGCTGTATCCAGTTTTGATAGATTTGATTTTTTTTTTCACATAATTTAAGAAAAGTTAGTTGAAAAAATAAATCTACCTTACCATCTTTCTAAAATACACTTATACTAAGTGGAATATGACTAATTAGCTTTACATTAAATAAGTTAGATTATAATCAATAACAACAGACATTAAATAAGAGCATTTTAGAGAATTTACAAGTTAACTACATTTTTCAATTAAAAAGTGAACTATAATTTGATACAGATAAAATAAAAGTAACTGGGTAGAGTATTATTCCAAATAATTATTTGAAATAATTACTGTAACACTTTTTGTAATGTGATATATGTGAGATAAAAATGTGATTGAGAATATTAAAAGGTAGATTGGAAAATATATTTATGATGCAAGTGAAAAATTTATTTGGAAAAATTATCTATCCAAACATAGCCTCAGTTTCTTTGCCATGTTAACTCTAAATAAAACAAAAAAGCTTCCACTTTCCATTTATTAATTGTTACCCGCAAAGATGCATGCAGATGCAGTCATGCATGTCGGGTTTGGAGTACTAATGAAATCTATTTTCTGCCAATACCCCCCTAGTTTCGAAATAATTATCAATGGGGCATTTGTTAAAGTGAATTTTGTCAAATTGACCCACTTAAGAAAGAGTTAGACATGTTACGAATCAATAGCAAAGTCAAGTTTTACTGATCAAGTTAAATATGTACGTGGTCTGCTAGTTTAAGTTTCAATTCATAAGCTATGATTTTGATATATGTAAATAAAGGCCTAGGTTTACTATTTTGATTGGGGATATCAAGATGAGTGATTTGACACTATTTTATTAAGTATAGAGTTTTTTTTTCATTGACATGACTTATTCAATGCTAATTGTGATGTTGTTTTCTTGGTTTATTCTGTAAGACTGGAGTCCAAATGTATTTCACATGGATTCTACGAGTTAAAAGAGTTTGATTACTTTAAACCTTGTTTGGATTGCAAATTTTTGAAGTTTTTGTTGAAAAATATATTGTAATAATATGATATATGAGGTAAAAAAGGTGATCTAAAAATATGGCAAAAAAAAAATTTCTGCAAAAACCCACAATCCAAATAAAGGCCTTAATTTGATCAAAACTTTATGGTAATGACAATGCTTGATTATTTATTCATGGGATTTCTAAACTTTTAGGCTTGAAGAAGAAGGAACAAAAAATAAAAAATAAATTGCTAAATGTTGTTCACACTTTAACAAAATAAACTTTTTTTATTGCTTGTAAAAGTCATCCCTTGCATATCATTCCATTAATCTTTTCAACTAGATTTAATCTCACCTAGGTTTTGTAGAAGCCCATTTGAAAATTTTAGGGGCATGCATGCTAGACTCAAAAGTTATTTGAAAACATAAACAAGCCACGAGCAATAGTTTACAAGAACCATGCCATGCTTTTCCAAAAAATTCACTTGATTTGTACAAAATTATTCGTCATGAGAAGAGGAAATCGTACATTTAGTCATTAACCCAAAATCAAACCGGATTCTCGGGGTTCCATTAAAAACCGAGCTCATGCACTTGAATTAAATTATCAAGAAAACAAGGAAAAAAAAAGGCAAAGGAAAGAAAATCCCTGCTCTTTTCACCTTTCGAGGCTGCATGCAACTCCAATCACTTCTCTCTTTCTCCCACGCCTTATTATTTTCCCAACCACAACATGGAGAAGAAAAGCACTAAATGCCCTAATACTTTAAGCATAAAAAAAGGTAAAAGAAAGGAAACATCTTTTACCATTATATTTGTTTATGTTGACGAAATATGACAATGACATGATTTTTCTATCTTAACCTTTCAAGAACCTTTTTTACCGAGACTTTCTGACATATTAATTGTGGATCAATGTGAATTACAACTCAAACATCTATACAAATTAACCTAAAAAATTTTCAATTTGGCTTAAAACTCAATCTGTAGAAGGAGTTTTTTTTTTTACCTATTTACTCATATTTCTATTTTGTTACACGTGGTGATAGAAGTTCGTCATGCAAAAAAGATTTAAGAGCCATAATATAATGTATCTTGATATAATAACCATTTTTACGCTTATTTGTATTCTAGTTCAATTTGTCCAAATTGTCTTGAAGCACATGGATAATTTCAATGAATAAATATCATAATAACACTTTTCTTTTTTATGCGTACAGGAAGCGGTTGTACCCAAAAAACAATGAAGATAAAAAAGATAAATACTGTATATATTTTGTTTCTGTAAGACTATTAATATATTCATATTATACTTTCTCTTCTTGCTCTTTAATTTTTCTCCCTTTCTTTGAGAAAAGAAAAGAAAACTTTATCATTTCTTTACCTAGCATACCAGTAATCATAACCAATAAACTCTTATCACATTATTGAATAATTTAAAATTTTAAAATTATCTAAGAGCTAATATGTGTTTATATAAGTTCAACGGTGAATTGATATTTATTGATGTAATATTCAAAAAGTACAGTAAAACTCTCTGTCCACATTTTAGCAAATTGTAGTACTCCAATGTCATATTTATATCTCCACGCTGTACCGTTAAATTCAAATGCAGCCCCTAGAAAGCAAATGCAACTCAACAAGCAGTAGTCTATTAATTATTCAAGGATACTAATATTTAACACCACCATTAGACTAGATATTAGATAACACTAGACAGAATACAGAGCAAAAAACAGGGAGAAACAGAATGTCAACAAATGCAGCAACAGTAGAAAGAAAGCCCAAATGGCATCCAATTCCACCACCACCACCAAGTCCCAAAATCCTCAACTTACCTAGGAGAAATCGCCATCGCAAACAGCACAAAAAACCCACCAAGAAACCATATTGTTCCAGCCATGTATCGTTACTAGACTTGCACCGGAAGAATTACTACAGTGAGACTGGAAAAGGGAAACTTGAGAGGTTATTTGGCCAGGAAAGGGAGTTTTCGAGAAGTGGTTGCAGTAATAGTGTGCCTATAATTGTGTTGAACTCATCTGCAGCATCATCATCATTATCAGGTGGAAGAAGAGACAGATTTGTAGAAGAAGAAGAAGAAGAAGAGGAAGACGAAGAAGAAAAAGAAGTAGGAGGAGAAGGAATGTGTGGTGAATTTATGGAGGAAAAGTGGAAGTTTCAGGCTGAGATTTTGAGGGCTGAGTGTAATTTTTTGAGGATGGAAAGAGAGGTTGCTTTGAAGAAGTTGGAGACAAATCGAGCTCAGATGGAGAGGACTCTTCGATCAGCTGTTCAAACTCTAATAGCTGTTAGTTTCAATATCTTCTCGAACCTTCACTTACAAAACATTTTCCGTGTTGTTTTCGTTAAATTTTTAAGAAGTAATACAGGGATATAAGAGTTTTGAGAGTTAAATTCTTTTGAGTTTTTTAATTTCTTTGAGACCCTTATGAGCATTAATCTCTTTTTCATTTTTTTAGCAAATTTATTTATCTGACTCTCTGTAATAAGGAAAAAGGCGTCAAGATAAGGGGAATCAGAAGTTTTTTTTTTTCCTTCCTATTGGTGTTCAGCATTTCTGAATTCTCTGTTTTTCCAGAAGAAGAATTAGGGGTCGGCTAAGTAATGAGATTTGCATTTGTTTCATTTGGAAGTATTGTTTCTTAATGAAATAGTTTTTAGTTGAAAAAGTTTATTTGCATAAAAGAATCCTAATTTTTGACCGTATATTGTTGCATGAGTTCCACTTTTCAATCAAGTTCACTGGGTGAACCAATGATTTATATTGCAATTTTTTTTACTTTTTTTTTTTTTTTTGCAAATTTGCAGGGAAAAAAGAAAATTTTTGAAGGGAAGAATGTAAATGCAGTATTGGAAGAAGAAATTGAGGAACTAGCAGAGAAACTGGAAGAGTTGCAGAAGAGCTCAGGACTTGAGGACCTTGAGGTTAGGAATTGTAACAATTTTGATAAACAGGCATGTCTTTTGCAGCGCCGACTAGAGAAGATTGGTGGTTTGTCAGACAATAAATATGTTGAAGAATTGCAAGAATTAGCTGAACCAAGCTTATCCATAAGCAATGAAGTTGGCAATGGGAGCTGTGTTTTGGATTCCAGGAGCAATAAATCCATTGATGTAATATTAAGATCTCTATTACTCTTTCTTGAATTGTCTGCACACTTTTCATTCTGGCCCCCCAAGATTCTTCAACTTTTCAACTTTTGATTTTGCTGCCGCATTTAATTGACAAGGAAATGGCTTTTCTCTCTGATGCTATCTTGGCAATCTTGTTGAATATTCTAGTCGAGAACTCCATTTTATTTAACTTACCAGATGTAACATTTTGTATTTAACACATGTTTTTTGTTGGCTATGTAAACTTCCGTGATTAAGAGTCTATAAATTATAAGGAGATGTGAATAATGTTTAGGTGGAGATGTTGAGGAGGAAAATGGATGGACTTTCAAAGGAAATGTTACAGAAAATTGCGAAAGATTTTTGCTCAATACTATCTACTACGGAAAACAGTTCTGTTGCTAGTTCTGCTTCAATATCAAAGCGAATTGAATATCCGGAGTCTATTTTCTCTAGCAGACAACTGTATCAGGCATAGTTCTAAACTCTGATGTTCACTACTTATGTTGCCCCTGCACTGTTACACCAGTTTCTGTTTATTCTCTTGATTGATTGCATACATTGTGCTATGTCTTATTATAAACTTTCTGATGTGTAAATATGGAAATAACTGCTGGTTGCTACATGGCAGGACATCAGGCCACTTTGGACTGTAAAGCATTTCTCTTACTCTCTTTTTAGCATGGATCCATAAGTCATACTTGATAGGAAACTTCATTGTTTTGGTATATTGTGACATTTTGAAATGGAAAACGAAGTTAATTAATCTAGTAGTATAGGCATTCCTTGCAGCTAATATTTCTGCTCCAAAGCTTCATTTTTCACCACTTATGCAAATCGTTTCATTGTATTCGTTTTTTTTTATTTCTATTTATAAAGCAAAATAGGGGAAATGGCCCTCTCTCTGTCACCTAGCTGCTAGCATTTAGCCACTGTTAGTATAAATATTTCTTATCTGGAAAGTTTTCTTTGTTTTCAATTTTGTTATTTAAAGCAGTAGCAATCACTTTTATGGGACACTATAGGTACAAACTTTGTGTTACTATCCATGTTTCTTGCATATACTTCAAAAGCTTCTGATTTCTTAATTGTTCTTTGGGTATTCAATCTTATCCTTATCTACTTTATCCAATTCTTTTCTGTTTTTTGTAAGAATTAATGACTGAAACTCCTGCAAATGAAATCTTCCCACTATTACTCAACATGATTGAGCCAGTATTTTCATGACTCCTATATGCACAGACTCTGTGTTACTAATCATGTTTCTTGCGTATGCTTCAAGAGCTTCTGATTTCATGGTTGTTCTTTGGATATTAGATGTTTAATGATAGCCAGTGCAATCTTTTCCTTGTCTACTTTAACTTACTCTTTTCTGTTTATCATAAGAATTGATGACTGAAACTCACGCAGATGAAAGCTGCCCACTATTTTTGAACATAATTGAGCCAGTACTTGTATACAGCTAAAGTTGATCTACTTGACATAATCAAATTTATCTTCTCTAGACTTTTGTGTTTATCATGAGTTCTACTGATTAACAAAAACCGATTTTAGGATTAAGCACAATGCCTCAGTTTCATAAGAAAATTTATTTGCAGATAGATCAAATGAATCAGCTAGAAGTATATTAACAACCTGTAATTGTCATCTATTACTAAATAATCTTTTATTTGCAGAAACTTGAGAGATTATGCGAACATGATGTAAATGTAGCACTTGAAATCCATCAAGCTGGGAATTTATTTGAGTGTTTTGTGCTAAAATATGAATGGATATATAGCATATAGGTTATTCTGATAGACAAGATACTTGCTTGAACACATCTTTGAGCCAAAAGAACACGTTTTTGCTACAGGAATCAGTATCACATGAAGATGCCAAATGCACAGGACGTTGCAAGGCTGTAGTACGCAGAATTGTAGAGCAAGTGAGAGCTGAGACTGAACAGTGGTCCCAAATGCAAGGAATGCTACTGCAGGTGAGGAAGGAGATGGAAGAACTCCAGAACTCCCGCAAATTTTGGGAAGACCAGGCACTCAATTCTGATCGTGAAGTTCAATGCCTGCAATCTTCTGTAAGTATATCCCTCTTTTTGGAAATAGTTAACTTTCTTATCAGTTACAGATTTTTCAAAATTATAGCAGAGAATTGAAGTAGTGGCATACATAAAGTCTTTTGCTGTTAAGGACTTTTGGTTTGTGTTATTTGAAATAACTTGAAAAGATATGATTCTGGAGGCTGTAACATTGCAATACTCAATCTTAGCATTCATTATTATTTGGTTTATCCATGTGAAAAGGAAATCAAACTAAGAAACTATTCCAGACGAAATATGTTTAAAGGAAAGAATGTCTAGAAAGGTTCATAAGAGTGTATAGAAAAGATCATACAATCTAAACCAATAACTGAAGGTGCTTATTGTGTTCTCTACCTTCAGTAGCTTCCAAATCTGTCAAATTGTTAAAGTTTCTTTTCGCACTCTAAGTTCATTTTTATACAAATTTTTCATTCAGCAAACTCCCTGAATACTCTGCAAATTGATTAACTCTATATCATGTCACGTCACAATGGTTTAATCGTTAGATGAATGCATCAATGGTTTATGACAACCTGCATAGTAGGTCTTCTATGATTGCCATCTCAAACAACTAGCTTATATTTTGTACCTTGTTTGATAACATCATAACCTTGTTTTCTTTTAGGTGCAAGAATGGAAAGAAAAAGCTCTAACGTTGGAAACCAAGGCTAAGGCAACCGAAACAGAATTGGCAGATCTTAAAGTGGAGCTTGAGAAACTGAAGACTGCACAAGGCATAGAACAATGCCGAGTTGTAATCAACGATCACATTACACCTCTTGCCTCCATAAGTGAACAACTCAGAAAGGAAAATCACGCACGGGGTCATATCCTGAAGAAAAACCATCTTAATGTACATAAAGCTTGTAGGGAAGAGAATGCCAGGGAAATGTTGATAGCGAAGCAAAATGGTGAAATCATGGCAAGTAACGAGTCTTTGCCACTCCCCCTGGGGAAGCAACTTGAAAAAGAGAAACGGATGCTTCGTCGCTTAAAAGAAAAGTGTCGTACAACCACTGACGGCAGGAGAAAATTACATACGTACAACAGTGGACTTGCAACGTTGAAGCGTTCCCCATTCGATGACATTGGGAACTTGTCAGAATTGTAAAACTGCTTTTATTTGTAAACTTTTCTCGTTTTCGTAGCTACCTTGAGTCTTAGAGAGATTATAAGCTTATCATTTGTGTATGGAGTGAGAGATGGGGATTTGTTTAGAGAACAGATTTATTTATTTTTTTGGTCAGGATAGGAATTGAAAATTTTCCAACGTATTAGCACTAAAATAAACCGAAATGAGGTTGACTTTCAATCACAAAGTCAAGAGCCAATATATATACGGATTAACTTTCAATCCAAAACGAGGTTAACTTTCAATCACAAAGTTGAGAGCCAACATTCTTGATATATGTATTGTTGCGTGTGTGTATACAGCGGTGTGGGCCGGACCTGCAGTGTTGTTCATACAGTATACATTGGCCCAATACGGTTCACAAGTTACTAACTAATCCTTGGCGATGGGGAAATGTATGGAAAAAAGGGAGTAGAAACTGTTACTGATTGACGTAAAGTGTGTACAGTGAAAGAGTGTAATATTAGTGAGATCCTGGTGGATGGAGAAGTTGCTGTTGTTGTGTGGGAAAATGACCAGTCATAGCGTGAAAAAGGTATTCTGGTCCTGGGATGCCGTTGAGCCCGTCAGTTCGAAGATGGAGGCTATTTGTGAGCCTGGGGAGCAGTGGCAGTGCAGGGATGATGTAGGGAAGGCAATCGAAGTTGTTTGTTTATGGTAGAAAGCGCTCGTTTGCATAGATGGGCATTGTGGATAAGATATTCGACCTAGTTGAAAGTGTAGTGAATGATACAGTTTAATATGATTACATGAAGATGCCAAATTCGGAACAAGGACCGAGTATAAACATGGCAACAAGTGCAAGGTGGCCTCTATAAATATGGATAGATGTTTGATAATAGGTGGTGGTGTTACGTATATGGATGATGAAAATATGATTTCACGATCTGGCCCAATTGATGGCACGGCCCAATTAATATGATAAATATTAGGTCTGTTCATTATTTTGGACCAAAAGCCCAATGACTAGTGAAAGCGCACATTTTCAGATGTGTTTGGTGAGGTCGGTGGAACTCATGGACCTAAAGTAGACTTGCATATTGGTTTAGATATGCTTAACCTATTTTGCATGCTAATGAGGTTGTTGTGAGAAGTGGTATTGTTGGAAGTCAGGTATCCATAGATAGGTGTATTGCATTCTATGGAAAGAATAAATTCCTGACCAAATTCAAGAATTATAGAGCTGTAACTGATGGATGTTACAGTAATGTTAAAGAGAATGCATCGATGTTGTATATAGTGTGGGAGTGTACATCTGAAAATACCGTTGCTGTAAATATTGACAGCCGTATGATGTATTATCATTAATGAAATTATATTTGAAAATTGAGTGAACTTGTTCATTTATGACTACTAATTGCTTAGTTATTATGGGAAATATGAAATTAAATTCTGCAAAGCCTATATATATTTTGATTTTTGCGGGATGAATACATGATAAATATACTTTATTACATTAGCAAGCACAGTGGAATATTAAAAAAACATTCTTGGGCCGCTACTTGGCCCAAAGACTTTTTTACACGGAAGGATTCTTAATAATTTGAGACCAATGGTGATTGTGGGTCTGAGTAGTTGACATGACTGTTGCAATAGACTGGGCCACTACTCTGCTGAAATATTGGAGACCAAGTTGCTTTGGAGGCCTAGTTGCGATGCAGATGGACTTGGATTAGATCTACTATCTGATTTGTTGTGTCAAGATCCAAGCCTTGTATCATTGTAGATGCACAAGACCCAATGCCAATATCAGATGTAGATGCACGTATTTGGGCCAGTGAAGTGCCAGGTTCAATTAGATATTGGGACATAGTGGCCTAACTATAGTTGAAGAAGATCAGCAGAGCGCAGACTACTTGGATGCATCATTGCAGTGTCATAAGTTGATGTTTTCTTTAGTGAACTGGTTGAAAAGTATCTATGCCATCGGTGGCTGGAAGCAAGCTTGTTTCGGATTTTAGAGGTGACTAGTTTCATGTATGCTTTGATATTGCAAAAATTGACCCTTGCCTTGATGTTGGAGTATTCTAATTTGTATTTGGCTACCCATGGGCACATATCATTGTTGAGTGACAGGTGTCGAGCATGTGCAATAATAATTACTTACTCAAGAAAAATACAAATTTTGTATATAGCGATGAACATGGTCGAATTCACAGGGACTGGGGATAATTCGTTTCTTCTAGAATCCAAAGTATGGGGGGTTTTTTGGAAAATATAAAATGACTAATTAACCAACTAATGAAACAACTAATAGATATAAACAGGAATCAATAACCAATACGACTCTAGCCAAAGGTGTAACTTTTTAGACACGGTCCATTCAACTGATCATCAATGCAAAGATAATTCAATTACTCATTACTAGATTGGTTATAGCCATCAACAAGCTCTGATAACCAACTTTTCCTTACTTTATCGATAGTCAAGGTACGACCGTTGACTATTTCTCTAACCAAGAAACAACCCTAGGTACGACCGTAGGATTTAATTTCTCGATTGTATTAATAATTAGAAAAGCCCAACCCTAACCAACAAACACACTACGAGGGTTTGTTTAAGTTAGATAATACGTTTCCCTAACATAAAACCAATCACGCTTGTCGCCACTGGTATTAATCAATAGAACAATTACAGATTCAATCAATTAATATGACAGTAGATTATTAGGTTAATTCGAATATCGGGCCCTTGACATTCAAATAACAAAACAATCATAAGCAATTAAACCAGAAAACGTGTGAATACCAATGGATAAAAGAAATCAATAAAATTAATTCGATCTCACAAATATTTGGAACCGCGTCTTCAAATTATCCTTTGACTAGAAAAAGGAGTTAGTTCATCTTCATGGAGGAAATCCCACGCAAAATTGCAGAAGTAATTATCCCAAAAACCAAGCTATGTTCCCCGTCGTCCCTCTGGAAGGGACGAAAAAGAGGAAAAGAAAAATCAAACGGAGGAACTCGACCAAAGCAAAACAAAACGAAGTTCTCCTATTCTCAACAAATGACTACTTATGTCTCCCTAGTTGGTCTTTGCCGATGATAAGGAAAAGATAAAACCAAAAAGTCAAAATGCTACCCAATGTCCTTCTTTATCGTTTTCCTTCAGCCAGCCAACTACCTACTACCACCAAGACTCCTAGTCAGCAGCTCTTCATCAGCAAAAGGAAAAGAAAGTCCGTTTCTTCTCTTCATGTGGGCCAGGTTTGTATTTTCTTTTAGAAGCTCCCCACGTGTGGAGTCTTTGCCTCAGGAAGATTTCCCTTTTTAATACTTTTCTGCCCACTTCCTGAAATTATGTCCAAATACCAAATATAAGTATATGTTAACAATTAAAATAATATTTGACAGGAACAAAGGGAAAATTAACAATAAAATTACTAACAATTATCACCCTATCATTGAGGGATGAATACAAAGTGCCATAATAGTGGAGAATGATCGGGCATGTCACTGAAAAAATGTATTCGGCTTGCAATTGATCGGATCCTTCCAGTCGCATGTCGAATGTGAATACCCAGACTTTACTAGTACTGTTGATTGGAATCTGGAGTGTATATCATTTTTGGTATATTTCGATGAGAAATGAGAGCTTGCATACTCACTATATGATCTGGAAGGTCAAGGCTGGGAAGGAGATCCTTATGGATTTGTGCATTGGATAATGCTTGTGTCTCGGAGATCTTGGATTTGTAGTAACTAGCGATTGAGTGATCGGTTGGTATTTCCATTGAACTTTTGTGTTATAGCACTTGATGAAGATGAGAATGATGAAGATGGAAGTGTCAGTGTATATAGTAGAGGAAACGATGGCGTTTTATGAAATGAATTTGTTTTAATACTATTGAGAGGTGCACCTAGATGATGTCACTCGACCCAACCTGATGACGTCACTCAACCCAATGAAAAGTCTACTGCCAATTGGGTAGAGTAAGTAGAGTTGACGTAGCACATTAGACGTTCTTGAACGTCTTATAATATTACAAACTAATCTCCGACTAGATGGTCGAAGTAGATGCGGCTTTAACAAACTAAGGAAAGTCGATGCTGTTGCACTTGTCAAGAACGATAAGACAATGATACTTGATGTCATCAAGAGAGGTAATTCTCGATCGTTCATCATACACTACAACAAAATATGAATTTGGATCAAACATATCGGTCCAAAATGTTTCAAATATATTAGCCCAATGGATAGCCCATAATGTGGCTGGGCCTGAAAGTAGGGCTCATAGGCCCATGTCTATTATCATTAAAAGTTCAAGTCGAACAGGAAAGATTTGTTCAGCCAAAAGTCTAAAACTCGAGACCCAAAACTATTACACTAGTCACATTGACTTATCCAAATTGACTTGACCCAACAATGCCGGGTATAACGTCATTGGTGACATCAATCCTCAATTCCTGAAGTATTGGAAAGAATTTATCAGGTCCCAATGAGATTGGTCTTCTAATTGTAAATATGTAAAACCTAGGAGGGTAAAAGGAAAAATTTCAACAATCGTGTTGTGCAATCCTGACCCCAACTCCTCCTATTACAATTACTTAAGTGCAACAGATCATTCCAATCTCCTTAATTGGACTAAATAGAATCCAATCTTTTACTTCCTCCAAGAGTCATTATTCACCCCTGGACATCAAGATTAGACATCACCATTACAAGAGGCACGATTAGAGAAAGCAAATTAAGTTCAATTGTGGCTATTACTTGCTACACCAAAATGGACGCCACGACAGGCACTACATTCTCAGCATTGATGCTATGAGGAAGTTATTTATGGAATTCCAAAAGGATCCCATACATTTCATAATGTTTCAAATCACACCGACCAATTGTTTGGTATCAATATGGGCAAATTACAACTTTCGAAAACAACCAGGCCTCAACATCATGTTTGTTAGGTTCCAGATCTGCATTTCCTAGACATTGAAGGACGTATATCCCACAAGGATCAACAACAAAATTTGGGCACTTATTATGAAACAACTCAATAAATATGGCATTCTTAGTCTAGTTACACTAGAATTAACATGTAATTCATTATCCAACGTATGGATTAACTATAAAAATGTATCTTTTCAGTGTGAACGGATTCCATTTCAAGATGAAATGTATTAATGTTTAAATTTCATTATTGAAATGCCACGTGGCATTATTACATCGAATCCCTGTACA